AAAAAGAATTAACCCCCCCATTATTTCTCCAGACTTAAGAAAGTAAATGGTTCCTGTGCGCTAAGTTATTGTTATTGTCGAGGGTACGTTTTTAGCCTAGTATGTCATACCAAGGTGTAACTGTATTACTCATTGTCTTGCGATATGTCATACCAAGGTTTTACTGTATCACTCATTGGCTTGCGGTATGTCATACCAAGGTTTTACTGTATCACTCATTGGCTTGCGGTATGTCATACCAAGGTTTTACTGTATCACTCATTGGCTTGCGGAAAGGTATAGCAACTTATAGGCCTACCAAGGTTTTACTGTATTACTCACTGTTCTCTTGTGCGCCATATAATAATATTATACCCTTCAATCTTGAGGGGATGAAAAGCAACATCAACAACGGACGTGAGGTGCTACATGTGGACCAAAGAACTTACAACCTAATTTAAATGGGTCATGAATTTTTAAGGGCCTGTTTGTAACCTTCTGGATGTAGGCCTATAAGTGCGCGTGGGTCGGCTCTACAAAATAATTCTATTTTTAACGTAAAGTATCACGAAGGTCGAACTTGTTGTGAAACATGTGACGTCCAAAATTACAACTCAGAGCTGGATGGTTTGAGGCGAGGCTACCTTGGTTTGAGGGCATCCGCGTGTCCGAACCACTTGACCTTTTGTTTTTCAATGAGTGGTAGGACTGGTGTTGCTCCTACGGTGTCCCTTATGGATTCATTTTTAATTTAATCTCTTCTTGTTTTGTTGACCGCTATTCTTAAGCATTTCATCTCTCATGTGACCAGTTTCCTCTCTAAGGCTTTTGTTAGGGACCATATCTGGCACTGATATGGGAGCGTTGGAAGGAAAATGGAGTTGATGAGCTTCGCCTTGGTGCTCAGGGGAATATAGGGATGTTTCAGGAGAGGGCCGAGTTGATAGCTGACTGCGTTGGCTTTCTGGCATCTAGTCTCTATTTCTCGATCTAATTTTCCGTTTAATAAATTAATATTAATTTAATTAATTAATTATTTTTGCGTGAGTTGTATGCCTTCCCCGGTGTTCTTGTTTTGGTGTGTTAGATCCCAGGCTTGGTATAGTTGTGAGAGATCATGTCTGTCTGTTTTTATCGTAAGATCCAGATTTATAGAAAATTTGCCTTTCTTTTCTGTTTGCTTTGAAAACCCAGGTGTTAGATATTATCTAAGACTGAAAAATAGCTCTTCAGAGTAATTTTGATGTGAATTTTTGTAGACTTTGATCTACATAAATAAGAATTGTGAATTCAAGCTTGTTTAATAGAAAATTAGGATTTAGTTGGGTTTTTATTATTATTCTGCCTTCCTTGGCCATGTCGAACTTTCTGTTGATGAAGAAGCCCAATACAAGTGCAAGCGGAAGATACAAATAGTACCAGACTTATTGCAGGGAGAGAAAGTGCACATAATCAATTTAGGGAGAAACATGTGACTTTTCCCTCACTATTTCGTTTAGTATTGATTATATAGTACGCTAGTTTTTTTTGCGGTGAGAGTTATGTCCATAAGATCATATAATTTAAGACTTCTTTTGATGTGTTTGTTTATTCATGTATTTTACTTTTTAATGGTTTAACAAGTTCGTAAAATTGTTTTTTTACAATTATAATTTAAATTTCAGAAAAGAAGGTTTTAAACTTTCTGGTTGTCTTGTTTTGTGGGGGCGCTGTGAAGAGAAAAAGTTGATGAAGTTTGAAGAGTAGCGACGGGGGAGTGTCATTTTTTTCGTCAAGCTGCACTTTGGAGTAATTACTGTATTTAAAAAATATTGTTGTTGCTAGTGTAATAGGTTACAGCTTTTTGGGGACATTCGCTGTTTCCGTCTTTCAAAATGCATGTAATTTCTGAGGGGTTTGGGGTTAGTGGCCCCTCATTACGTAAGATGTCAGTTTGGGCTGGGGGTGGGGGGTGGGTAGTGTGTTTAAAAAGCGGTTCATTTGTGAGTGCAGGGAGTGATGAAATGATGCGGGGTGACAGGTGTCCGCGGGGAACTGGAACTGGCCCTCGTCACCGGTTATCGGAAAATAGCACGTTCTTTAATGGCGTCAGTAGGTATCGGGCACGGGACCAAATTTTAGGGAAAGAATGTGTTACCACTTTTTTGTTTTTGTCTTCCACAGCTCACAGACTTCCCCTCCTCACACCCCCCCCCCCCTCACCCCCTGCGTTCAACCAGTTCTTGAATTTTTTTCTGAGGGGTTAGGGGTCAATACAACCTCACTTTGTTTTTTCACTCTAATCATAAAAATTACTTTTCCTAGATCTTATCCTCCAGTAGGTTCAAATACATCTAAAAATCGAACCATCTGTCTGTCTCACTTTTTCCCAGCTCTAAATGTGAGGCAGCGTGGTGGAATCAGGCTCTCGTCAATTTTAGGGCATGTAGAGTTATTGGTATCATCTTAAAGCTTTTTCACTTGTCTTTATTTGGATGAAAAAATATCCATTTGCTTTGAATATAAGTCGAGCTATTTGCAATTGAAGGAGCTGGGGGTCACCTGTTTTCAGAGGTAGAATTAGTGAGAAAATGGCAGTCAAAGATTAGTTATTTCCTTAGCTTAAGAGTCCGTGGTAACTGAAAATTTACTTTTTTGTGCCTTGAATCAATGTTTTTCGGAAAAATCCGCACAGAAATGAGTTCTTAAAAGAGCATGAAAAGTGTAGAGTCAAAAAAAAAAAAAATTTTGATAAAAATTCACAAACCTGCCGAAAAATGCAGGGTTCTTCACAATTAGTATTTTGACGAGAGCCTGATTTCACAACACTGCCTCACAAATGACCATTGTTGTGTCGATGTGCTTGTCTTTACTCAAACAAACAAAACCAAAACAAACAGGCAAACAAACAGACAAACAAACAAACAAAACGATTAGGTCATATAAGAACCGAAGATTAGAGGTGTTGCAAGAGAGTAACAAACACAATCTAACCCGTCAGCCACCCACGGAGTTTATGTGTTGAAACGTCCTCTATTGCTGTGGTATTTAAAGCTCTCATTAACCCCCCCCCCCCACCTATTCTTAGAACTGTGCATGTTCGACTCAGAGTACTGGACACCGGTATATTTGGTGTAGTCGTTAGACGTTTCGCCATCGTACGCAGGAAACACGAGTTCGATTCCCCAGCTAGGACTGGGAGATTCATTGTAGAGTATCATTTTTCAATCACAGTCCAAACCATCAAACCTGAAAAATCAAAAAGTAGTTTCTGAACTTTGAAAATATGCCCACGTAACCCTTTGTGACAATTCTTATCTGAATCATATTGTTGTAGATTTTAAGGGCACCTGTGAAAAAAATGTATACTGATTTCACAAATGAGCTTAGCTTCATTATAATAAGATTATTACTACACTGTTTTGTTCTTCTTCTTCTTCTTACTATTATCATCATCATCATCATCATCATCATCATCATCATCATCATAATCATCATCACCATCACCATCACCATCACCATCATCATCATCATCATCATCATCATCATTGTTTGGTAAGCAGAGTAGGAGGGAGAATCTTGTTTTAATTTTAGACAAAATAAAATAACAATATAAAATGTTTTTATCTCTCTCTATCTCTATCTGATCTCTATCTCTATCTCTCTCTCTCTATCTCTCTCTCTCTCTCTCTCTCTCTCTCTCTCTCTCTATCTATCTATCTATCTATCTATCTATCTATCTATCTATCTATCTACCTATCTATCTATCTATCTATCTATCTAATCTAATCTATCATCATCATCATCATCATCATCATCATTATTATTATTATTATAATTTATAATAATAATTATTTTTATTATTTTCCCTGTGGGTTGTTGGGGGTTTTTTGGGAGGGGGGGGTGTACTGCTTCTTCAACCTGCAGAGCAACTGATGTTAACGTATGTGACGGTTGTTCCTATGTCATGGGCCCGTTTCCTTCAGGCACCTCGTTTCCATTTCTGAGGTATTCTGTATAATAGTTTTTATTCTGACTAGAGTATCAGTTTTGATAGGAATTAATTTTGAATCCTGCTCAGGTGGCGGCTGAAACCCACTCGTATATATATCTTTGTTTTATAGTTTAATTTTAATAGAGGTTTCACGGCACTCGCAACTGCATATGGTGATATGAGCGCCAAGGGGTGGATGTCAACATAGAAGTCCTTACAGGGAATCGGACTTACTCTGGTCACCTCTCTAGGTTCAGCAGCACAAAGTCTGCTTCGACTATCAAGGCACCCCGGAAATAGCGGGTCACAAGAGCGTGACAAACATACATAAAAGAAGTAGGGGAAAATGGCAATAGTAAGGATGAGGAAAGAAAAAGCAGCAGTTCCCTGTTGTAGATCAGGCACAGTTATGAGCATGACATTGTTAGATCAGCCCATTTACAATTCTACTGTGCACTTGAACGAGAAATGTCCCCCCCTTTGGGAATGGCCTAAAGACACATCAGTCAGTGGCACCCCCCCCCCCCCCCCCCCCCCCCCGCGCGGGGGGAGAGGGGGGGGCCACTCTTATCGAATTTGGGACCAGCAAAGGATCTTAACGTAGGTAACTTGCACAATGGACCTCCGAGATTGCTAAGTATTCAATCTTACTGATCCTAAGATTACATGTGTGGCTGAAACTGACAGACTGCAGTAAAAAGAAGCTAGTTGTAGCAGAAGAAAGAGACAGGAATTAGGGAGAGAGCAGCGAAGAGAAGGCCGAGCAGTTTGTGTGTTTGTTTGTGTGTTTGTCTGTTTGTTTTTTGGGGGTTAGATAAAAAGTGGAGATGAAGGTAGCCGACAGAACAGAACTAGAGAACAGGAAAGAAGGTGAAAGGAAACAATTTTAGAGAAGAAAATGTTTCGCAGCTACCTGTCAGGTTTCGATCCCGGAACCTTTAGAATGAGAGGCGTACACCATACAACCTGTAGACCACGAGAGCCCCTGAAACTTTGACAAAAAACCACAAACGACACACGGGAACAACATTAACAAGTGGAGACGATGGGCCACTATCACATGATCTTTATTCCCTTCCTGATTGGTCGCCTTATATTTGGTCACGTGGGTGCAGCAGACACTCACAGTTCCCTCTAGGTCACTAGTGGAGAGAGAGACAGCACAATTGTTCAGAGAACACACTACTAGTGGAGAGAGAGAAAGAGATAGAAAGATAGAAATAGAGATAGAGATAGAGATAGAGATAGAGAGAGAGAGAGAGAGAGAAAGAGAGAGAGAGAGAGAGAGAGAGAGAGAGAGAGAGAGAGAGAGAGAGAGACCATTGTTCAGAGAACACAGCACACGAAAGACCGTCGACGCGTCCATAGAACACCACACACCCCCAAAATGTGTCATCCTGGTCAAAATCGAATTAAATAAGCTCTGAGCCACAATTTCGCGCCACCTAGGTCACTCACCTGGGGGCGGTGTGTCGTGTCCTGTCTTTTGATAAAGATTGTCTCGTAAAGTTTAAAAGACAAACACACATATATATTCATAACATACGGTCGAATTATCTGTCAATCATTTTGTAAAATATTCCAAATCTGACTAATAAAGACATGCACGTCGCAGCGTGATTTTTCTTTTGTTGTTGTTGTTGTTGTTGTTGTTGTTGTTGATAGCCGCTTGTCAAAATATATGATAGTCCCCAAAGTATCAAATAACCTAACAAAATGTGTCAAATAACCTAACAAAGTGTGTCAAATAACCCACCACAACGTGTTAAAGAGGCTTGAATATAAGGTGTCAAATAGCCAACCAAATTGTACAGCCTCCAAGCACTAAACCTAACAGACTAAGATTTTGATTAGCTTTATTTTGTACTTGACTTTTTAAAAAGGGTACATTGCCCAAAAAATGTCAGTCACAAATCATATCGACAAGCTTTCTATAGTAGAGGGGCCTTTAGAAGATTCTTCCCTATAAAGATCATGTTAGAGAGAGCTGTCTGTGTAATAAGTCAGAGAGGAATGTCTGAATGAAGGTCGGAGGGAAAGAGATGTCTGAAAACAGTCATTTAGTGCAGGGGAAAGGAAGACAGACAGACAGGAACAACAGAGAGAAAGTGAAAAAGTAAGACTTTATACCAGAGGCACCCTCCAACCACCCTCACGCCAGTCTCTATCGTCTGTTTGTCGCACAATCACTCAATGGTACATCTCTCTTTATATTTATAGATGTCGTCTGTTTGTCGTACATCTTTTCTGTCGTCTGTTTACCAGTCTTAATTTCCTGTTGTCGTCAAGGGCTGCCAGTAAACGTCTATAGATCTGAGTACAATCTTGGACAGTGTTTGATCTTCACGGTTGTGCTGCACATGTCTTCTATCCACACGAGCTCTAGTGACTACCGGTATGTCCCAAGGACCAAATACTCCCTCCACCCACATAATATTCTTTACGACCTCTAACTCTAAGACCAAGCACCGAGACCCATATAATACGATTCACAGCTGTTCGAAATGTGAAGATCCAAACTGTCTCCAAGACGTCACTTATTTCAGGTTCAAGGTTGGGAAACAACTCGTCCAAGAAGCAAAACTCAGAGCCCTCATTTGTACATCACAGTCATGAAAAAATAGTTTTCGATAGTCGTGCATGATGCGTCTTCAGTCTGAAAGTGACGAGAAAACCCCACACCTTTCACTCAAATCTCATCCAAAGGGGGGAACCCCCAATGTTTCACACTCATGTAACATAATAATCAGTTTTGTTCTCATTTCTAAGCAAATTGCATGAGAATAAATATACATTATTGGAAAAAGCAACCGCCAAAGCGTTGTATGCACTAAAACGTGTGACCAAAACAAATCTGAAAGGTAAAATACAGTTTTATAAAGCATGACATTGTGGATAGGGGCGAGTGGTGCCAGTTGATCTATTAACGAGAAATACATTGATTGGTCTTGCTAAATAGTAAACAACTAAAACATTCATTTATTTTTCTTGTTTTAAACTGTTTTGATTTAACTTTTTATCAAGGTCTCTGTAGAAAGAATGTGGAAAAGGGAATCATCTAGAAGAAGACAAATAAGAGACGTATTTTGTTTCAGATGAGACGATGTCTTTCATAAATTTTGTTCTGACTGCTCTATCAAAATTACAAAATGTAATTTTTAGTGCAAAACCGACATAAAAAGGAAATCACTCTTTTTCTAAAGCTAACTACTGCGTTCAAAATTTGACAGGAATTCTTCCACGATATAAAAATCAAACAAATTGTAGAAAATATTTTACAACCGTACAAAAATGAAATACGTGCATAAATTCGTTTGCCCGGTACATGAATATCAAATTGCGTTTATCATAAAATTCTCTCTAGACATGTCTACTGTATATTTACGTAGTGAAAACTATTTGCCTGAAGTGAAGTCTAATCTTCAGATCAAGTATACATGACATAGATTCATAGAAAAATTCCGCAAATGATGTGCTGGTAAAGAAATAATAAAAGAGATAGCATTTTGTATAGCGCAAATTCCCGCTCAACAGCAAGCTCTAGGCGCTTTACAGTTCACATTACTACCCAGCAGACCTGATAGCATTCTGAAACAGTCTCAACTGGAAAGCATACAGGGCAAGCTGTCATTTTACAGGCGCTAAAACATGAAAAATGCACTTCTCTACTCCGCTGTTCATAAGAGATCTTCAACTTATTGGTACAGTCAAGGCAAAGAAGACTCGGGGATCTATGTTTTTCATGTTTTGTTTGTGATGTTCGTAGGGCCTACTTTCTTACATCTATTTGTGCCACGACATAGCAGCACACGGTCAAAAGATGTAAAGAAAAGCAGTGATATAGTGGTGCATGGCATGGAAGAGTTAAGGATATAATACTAATACATACACAATTGAACTGAATTCTGGATCTTTTATCTTTTTAAGACATAACAGAAGATGTTCTGGGGTGGCCCGACATTCGAACAGAATTTACCAAAACCACGACGTGGGCAAGACTGTCGTGGTTAGCTAAAACGCTTCATCTGCAATTATTGCAAAAGTTCAGGTGTCTACTATCTAAAAAGTTCTCATTAATATAAATACGCAATATCAAACTTAGTGACAAATGTTTTTGTTGAAATTCGAAAAAATTTTTCTTGAAAAAACTAAATCTTAATAACATCTCTCCTCCAGCAATTTTTATTATCATACCAAAACTCAAATACGTGATAGTGGGCGGCTTACTACAAAATTTGTCGGAGTGAAGATACAACGTTTTAGCTCAGCACAGCAGACAGCACAATCCCTTAGAACGACACGTTTTAAACTCCACATTTTGCCAGAACTGAGTTACACACTACACATTATTGACACAGATAACCGATGCCCTGACACACTGTGTCTGAGACACCAGACAATCGAACCTTCATGTTTCCCAGTAGTTTGACGTTTAACAAATAAGCCGTAAAACCATTTATTATTAGCTGTGCAAGTGGGAAGCTTCCAATCCCATTTTTACCAAACTTGGCACCGTGGAGTTCAAACCCTGCCATTCTGAGGACGTTTACAACCAATCAGATCAGACAGTACCGAAAACGTGTTCGTTCAAACAACAGCTCAGAAAAGAAATACACCACACCCTTCACACTCCACACTCATCGGTCAAATTTGCAAGACATACATCGGCATACACAGTGACGAATGGCTCTACTCTCGAACAGACAAACAAACAAACAAACAGAGGAATAGACAACCAGATAATTGCATCCTAAAAACGTCCCTTTTTATAGAGTATATCAAAATGACGTATAGAACAGACATAACGATGCGTCGGAATAACAAGGTTCTATTTGACAGTTATGGCCATTTTGAGTTACTAAGACCACAAGGTCAGAAACCGAATGTTCTCTGCTTTATCAAAATTGTAAGATTATTCGGAGTCATAACCAAGATATTCAAAGAACTTTGTTAGAAAAATCTTGATATGTTGTGAAACTCAAAATAAAATTTAAAGCCTTAAATACCTCAAATTACTGAGCTAGATCTAATAGAACTTCGTAATTCTGGGGTTGCGAAATACTAGAACGCCTTTCTCTCTGTCATTGTTCTGTCTTTGAAAGGACCTAACGGTTCTCTCTACATCTTATATTCTCTTCCTTACAGTCTGCACATATCAGTAATTATTTTTGTAATTTAAACTTGAACAAATGTAGCAACTGCAACCCCTATGTGCTACATAAATAGAAAACAACTTCTACAAAAATACTATGTTCGAACAAACACATTGTCATCTATAAACAGTTAATTACTGAAATCGTCGCCAGTGCTAAAGCGTATACGACGTACTTAAACTTTTGATTGAAAAGGGACTTTCAAAACAAGAAACAAAACTAGCAATTTCTTAATTAAATTGTAATATCTGATGTCTTACAGTTGTCTCTCAGTTGCGCGCTGTCTACAAATGTATTAGTCCATTACGATAAATATGTTCTAAGGTTGGCACAGACACGAGAAATGAGGAAGTGTTTGACGTCGGTGATGGTACAACCATGGTACAACAAGACAACTCAGGACAACTGATAAGTATCAAAGCTGTGTGTGTGGGTGCACGGTGTGGGTGCACGGTGTGGGTGCATCGTGTGTGTGTGTGTGTGTACTGTGTGGGTGCACTGGGTGGGTGCACTGAGTGGGTGCACTGTAAGTGTTCACAAAGGCAGCTCAGCGGGTTCCGAGAGCAGGAAGCTGGAGCAAAGCAAAACACACGAGACAGACAGACAGACAAACAAACAAACAAACAAACGGATGGATACACGGACAAGACAACATGAACAACTCACAAAACAAACATTGCTACGATGAGTGCGCGCGTGCGAACAAACTTCAGACACGCAAAAACAACAAAAGCACTCGTCACGGTGTGGCTTTGTGGCTGCACAACACAAAACAAAGACAAAAATTCCAAAAACAAAACAGCAAAAGTGGCGCTGTTTTGCCTCCACACAAACACGGCACAGAAACGACGCTCACACGCAAGCAGTTGGGTTTTTTGTTACCTCTCTTATAAACTCAATCAGCGCCTGTGGATTCAGTGAAGACGAGTCAACAACATGTGTGTGTGTGCGTGCGTGTGTGTGTGTGTGTGTGTGTGTGTGTGTGTGTGTGTGTGTGTGTGTGTGTGTGTGTGTTCGTGTGTGTGTGTGGGGGGGGGGGTGCGTGTGTTTGTGTGTGTGCGTGTGTTTGTGTGTGCGCGTGCGCGCGTGTGCATGAGTGTGTGAGTACAGCTTCTACCCGAATAATATACCCCACCCCCACTCATCCATCAATCGCCAATTTTGGGTTTACTTACAAAAGTGAGATCATGAAAGCAGATTCTGATAACACTCAGGTCTACCAATAAATAGTCAAAGATTTTTTAAATATAAAACGGCAACATTAATCGATTTCAAAATCGCTTCTGTCTGTATTACAAAACTCTTTCAGAAACAGTTGGAACCTCATATCAAATTAGTAATTATCGTTCTGGAAATTTCTTAATGAAATATTATTTCTTTTAAAAAAAATATTTTAAAAAAACAAAACAAAAAAACCCCCTCAGGATTTCTCTGTTTCCATGTTCTATCTGCATCAGAAAACTGTCTGATAGTGAGTGAGTGATTTATACAAGATTGGGGGTGAGGGTGGGGTAGAGTAGTTGGCTTCAGTTATATAATGAAAGGTCAACCCATTAGACATTTCATTTAGGCAAAGATGAGGGTTTGTTTGGCAATGTTTTGATTCTATACCTGGAGCACAAACAGACCAGAGATAGTTCGAGTGACAATGTTGGAACGTCCCCCTCCCAGTGTTGTAATTTCTTTTCTTAAAAAAAAAATTTTGTTATCAGTTTCTGTAGCTTGGCCGTTGGCCATTCACAAATCTGACAAGATATGAAATTTTAAAAAATCTCATTTGGATCAATAAAATGTTTGTTTTCTAATCTTTTTAAATAAAAGAACTTACAGCATCTATACTTTCAAAAAATGAGTAGTGTTAGAAGTAAATAGGCATTGCATACATAATTAGCTAATATGTATAAATTTCGTGTAAGAGTATAATTTATAATAATGTTTCCCAATGTATAAATCTGTCAAGAATTTCATAAAGTATACTGTGACTGAAATGGCCCCTACAAAAAATACAAGCATACAGTATAAATTATGTATTTCTACAGATCGTCTTATTTAATTCATTGTTTTTACACTCAGTGCATCTAGAATAAATAGACACAAAAAGAAACAAGCTTGCATCACAAACCATTCGTTTCATAGATAAATAGACTATCGGCGACGGTCTTATTCAAACTTGCCTTCTAGAATTGGAACATCGTCTCCTACATTATAAAAAAATCATTATCTTAACAATGAAACGTTTTCCATTTCGAACAGACAATGTCATATAAAAAGTGAGATGAAACGGAGGGAGAAAAAAGGAAAAGAGGGCGGGGATGAGCGTTATTGTCGCTCCCCTCGAAATCACACTAGGACTATAAGGCTACGAGTCGTGCAAAACGTAAAAAACAATAACCATTTTCGTTGTCTAGAGAAAACAAAAAAACAAAACAACAACCCCAAAACTTCGGCTTTCCTCACAATAAATACATGTATGACTGAGAAAACATCTTTCAGGTCTAGTTTCTGCACTTGAGGGTACTTTTCTTTCTTTTTTCTTTTTCTTGTTTTCTATTTCACATTTTCAACATTTCCTCTACTGTCTGGATGTCTACGACTCCTCCTGCTGTTGCCCCTCCTCCGCCTGTCCCTCAGCATCTTTTGGCCCCTCCCCCTCTTCCTGCTGTTGCCCCTCCCCCTCTTCCTGCTGCTGCCCAGCCCCTTCTTCCACTTGCCCCGCCCCCTCTTCCTCCTGTTGCCCCGCCCCCTCTGCCTCCTGTTGCTCCGCCTCTTTCTCCTCCTTCTCCTGCTCCTCCCCTCCCTTCAGTCCCCGCCTCGCCCTCATGCCCTTGAACCCCGCCTGGATCTTCATGGCTGCCTTCTCCACCTCCGGGTCTTCCAGATCGATATCGATCTCCTCTTCCACCGCCTCCTGTGTTTGACCTTGACCCTCACCTTGACCCCCTTCTGCAGGGGCGGCGGTCTCTTCCTCTGCGGCTGCCTGAGTTTCCCCCTCGGCTTGTTGTTCCGGTGCAGCTTCTGCCTCCTTCTCTTCTCCTTCTTCCTTCTGTCCTTCTTCTGCCGGAGCGGGAGCAGCCTCAGCCTCAGCCTCCTGAGTTTCACCCCCTTCTCCTTCTCCCTCTCCCTCACCACCTCCGTCCTCTTTGCTCTTTGCCGACAACTCCTTCCTCGCCTTGAAACCCTTGAACCCTGCTTGGATCTTCGTAGCTGCCTTTTCCACCTCCGGATCGTTCAAATCAATGTCCACCTCCTCTTCTTCCTCCTGCTGCTGCTTCTGCTGCTGTGCCTCTCCTCCTTCTTCCTTCTTTTCCTCTTCCTGTGCTGCTTCCGCCTCGACCTGCTCCGCGCCGCCGGAACCCTCTGCCCCCTCTTTCTCGTCGCCATCTTTCTCACTCAAGTCTTTGCGCGTCTGGTAACCACGGAAACCGGCTTGGATCTTCAGCGCCGCCTGAGCGGTGGCGGGGTCGTCGAGGTCAATGTCAGCCAGCTCGTCCTTGACCTCTGGCTCGGCCGCCGCGTTGGACGTGGCTGTGTCTTCTGCTTGTACTGCTTCCGGTTGTGCCGCAGTCTCCTGTGCTGCCGTCTGAAACAATGGAGATGAAACAACTTTAAAGTGAACCAAGGATCGACACACCACGTTAGTTGTCATCATGTATATATTATAGGATCTAGATCTACAGGCTGCACGTGGAAAAGAAATGTTTTTTTCGAGATTCAAATTCTAAACGTTGAAAAAAAGTAAGAAGAAATACATAATGTAGGTACAATGGTTATAAAATGAAACAGCTATTTTTCCCCTCCTACTGTAAAATGTTGCTCTCTGGGTTGAGTACAGTTGAACAGTTTGCCTACTGACGATTTCTAACACTGCGTCGTTATGAATAAATAGGTAAAAGAAAAAAATTACTTCACGAACTGAGGGAAACCAAAAA